AACTATTTTCTCTGAGGTAGCCTTCTAATAAACTTACTTCAACTATTTTTATTTTCTCTAAGGTAGCCTTCTAATAAACTTACTTCAACTATTTTTATTTTCTCTAAGGTAGCCTTCTAATAAACTTACTTCAACTATTTTATTTTCTCTAAGGTAGCCTTCTGATAAACTTACTTCAACTATTTTCTCTAATGTGACCTTCTAATAAACTTACTTCAATTATTTTTATTTTCTCTGAGATGGCCTTCTAATAAACTTACTTCAACTATTTTCTCTAATGTGGCCTTCTAATAAACTTACTTCAATTATTTTTATCTTCTCTGAGATGGCCTTCTCTTCAGAGAAGTGCTCCACTTCTGTCAGTTGAAGATCGACCTCTGTTAGCCACAAGCGTAAAGCTTCTTGCAGTGCATGAAAATCGTCCCAGATAAGTAACGTGTGCCGAAGACGACGAATGATACAAACCACTCTTCTGTAGAGTGTATCCCATCGCTGGTTGATGTCATTTACCTTATTCTTGAGGAAGTTGCCCGAATCTGTTCGACTTTCTCTTGCTAGACGACGGTACTGTCTATTCACTAACTGAAGACGGGTAACATTCACTCTTATAGATTGTTGTAGTATCTGGAATGAAAAGCAAGTGTATAGAATTTTAATAAAAACTTTCAATTATATAAAACCTGCTGACATTAATGTATAAAGTATATTATGATAAACATTTAAATACTTTATCTACATGTTATAAATTAGAAGCAAGAAAAATGGCAACTTGGTAAAAATCATATATCTCAAACCTGAAATGTTTAATATTTGCTTTTCACAGCTTGTGCATTCACAGATTTTAACAACCAAATATTACAATAAAAGCAAAATCTTAAACCACATGATTCATGTTAACATAAACTACACTATTAACAGTAATCTAACTAACATGTTTATGTTCTTATTGGTATCAACTCTGACTGATTCGTGTTAACATAAACTTTGTAAAAATGTTTTCCCTACACTATCAACAGTAATCTAACTAACATGTTTATTGGTATCCACTCTGACTGATTCATGTTAATGTAAACTTTGTAAAAATGTTTTCCCTACACTATCAATAGTAACCTAACTAACATGTTTATGTGTTTATTGGTAACAACTCTGACTGATTCATGTTAACATAAACTTTGTAAAAATGTTTTCCCTACACTATCAACAGTAATCTAACTAACATGTTTATTGGTATCCAC